CAGCCTCTGTGACCCCTGCTCCCCACTCGCCCTGCAGCCCTTGCACCCCCACACCCCTACAGCCTCTGTGACCCCTGCTCCCCACTCGCCCTGCAGCCCCTGCACCCCCCTTGCCCTGCAGCCTCTGAGATCCCTGCTCCCCACTCGCTCTGCAGCCCCTGCACCCCCCCACCCCTGCAGCCTCTGTGACCCCTGCTCCCCACTCGCCCTGCAGCCCCTGCACCCCCCCGCCCCTGCAGCCTCTGCACCGCCCCGCCTGCCCTGCCCCTGTGCCCCCCTGCCCTTGCAGCGTCTATGCCCCTGCCTGCCCTGCTCCTCCTCGCCCTGCAGCCTCTGCACCCCCCCACCTGCCTTCTTCCCCAGCTCACCCGGCAGCCTCTGCCTGGCGGGGTCTTCAGACGCTCAGCGGCGACCGGGGCGGCGCAGGTCCCTGCAGCCCCGGCCACAGCCTCCTTCCTGCCACTGCCGAGCATGTTCCCCAGGCTGTTGTCCCCACCGGAAACAGCTCCTGCGGCGCCGGGTTCCGAGCCGCGCGGGGCAATGGGGCCACCGGAAGGGTCCCCCAGTGGCCGGGGGGTCCCCGCCCGCGAGGGAAGGCCGAGCCCCCCCTGCGCCCCTCCCGGGCTCGCTACAATGTAACCGGGGCGGCTGGGCTGCGCTGCGGACCCGGCGGATCGTGCTGGGGCCGGGCGGACCCTGGCTTATGCCTCCCTATTTCCCCGGACATGTCAGGCTTTTTGGAAATTCCCCCAGGACGGGGATTTGAGCACCAAAAAGCCGGACATGTCTGGGGAAATCCGGACGTATGGTAACCCTAAGAAACACAGGCCCAGCCCGTGGTCTGACCAGACATGCCCACACCTGGAGTGCATGAAGAAGTGGGTTTTTTACCCATGAAAGCTTATGCCCAAATAAATCTTTTAGTCTTTAAGGTGCCACTGGAAACCATTGTTTTTGTGGATACAGACTAACACGGCTACCCCCCTGATACTTCATCCCACATCTGGCAAACTCATGCTAGCATCTGGCTGTTTAAGGCCTTGCTTTTAGCTTATTGGTCACAGGCTCACAGCCTACGTGCAAAGGGTAGAATTGTCTTGGCCAGTGAAGCTCAATCCTTAGCAGACAGAGGCAAACGGACAGCGGAAGCACAAAAGTGAGAGGCAGGGGTGCCAGAACAGGGGGTACCAGGGGGCCATGGCCCCAACACTTTTAAAAATGGGAGGGTTTTGCCCTCCCACTTTTTAACGGCTGTAAGGGTGAGCGACGGTGGGAGGAGGTGGAGAGGAGTGAGCGGGGGCGGGGTGTTGGGGGAAGAGGCGACGCAGGGGTGGGGCCTCAGGGGAAGAGGCGGAGCGAGGGCAGGGGCTCAGGGAGAAGAGACAAGGGTGAGATCTTGGGGGGAAGGGGCAGGGCTTTGGGGGTAGTGGCAGCATGGGGGGGCAGGGCCATGGTTTGGGCGCTGGTGGGGCCCCCAGTTTTAGGGACCTTTGGTCACCCCTGGCAAAAGAAGAAGGAAAATAACCAGGAGGGAGGGGGTGTCAGCAGGAATCCATCTCTCATGCCATGTGGTGTTTAGCGGATTCAGCTGGAGCTGGTGGTGTCATGTGGCTCCCTCTCTGACCTGGCCTGGTCAGGACATCTCTGAGGATGAGGAGAACAAGGCCCAGTGGTGTCACGGTGGATCCTGGGGTCCCAGGAGACAGTGGGGGTGGCAACCATGCTGGTGAGGCTTGTTTCTTTCAGTCTCCCCATCCCAATGCTCCCATTTAGTGACCCCCCAGATACACAATATCCAGGTGGGGGGATGGGTCTAGTCCCATTCCCATTAATCACTCAAAGGCGCTCTGGGGATTTGAACTCTGGAGGGTGCCTCCCATTTCCGGACTCTCTCAGCTCATTGTCGTGACAGCCTGGGACTTCACCCAGAGCCCGGCCAAGCCCGGAGCCTCAGCCCAGCTCTTTTCCCTCCCTCAGTCCCGGCTGCCCGTCTATTGGTCTCCTGCTTCGCTGACTTTTGCAGTTTGTGTAACAGGCTAATTTGGCCTTTTGTCACCTTGGATGCACCGCACTGTGACATTGGGTCCCCACCCCACTCTCTGCAGCACAGCGCCCCCTACCGAGCCCCCCACTCCTATCCGTGCAGCCCGGCACTTTCTGCTAAATCTCAGTAACGCTCTCCCTGCAGAACAACCCATAATGAGCCCCCATCCCATACCTGGAGCACCGCAGCCTTTAATGATACTTGTAGCGACCACAGCTGAGATTTCTCTCCCCGGCCCTGTTAGTAACTACACACTGTGAGCGTTTCACTGCACAACCATTAACCCTAAAAGGTAAAATTCTGTCACAGAGCTCACAGATTCCAGGACTTTCAGAGACCTCCGGGACATTTTCCGCTTCAGCCCTGGGGCGTGGGAGGGCCGGAGCTGTCAGCCGGCAGGGGCCCCGGAAGCTCTGAGCTGCTGCAGGTGGTGTGTGGGGGGAACCGGGGGTAGGGCCTGGGCAGTGACTTAGGGCCCTGAGGCACCGTGGGCCCTGGAGCTGTCAGCCGCCATGTGCAGGTGCTGGACTCCCCCCGCTCCCACAGCGGGGCTCGGGCTCTTTCCCTGTAGAACTGATAAATGAAATTGTTTTTAATTGTTCACTTTATTAATGTAACTTCATAAGTAAAGTTTTATGAATGAAACAACATTCATTCATAAAACCGGTTACACCAATAACTGGCTAATTGACAATTAAGAGGATTGTTAAGAGCCATAGCTGTTCAGTCAGCTGCCTTTGTAAATTTCACTATCAATCCAATTCCTGCTTAAATCACTGAGGCTTGCACTGTTTCAGTATTGTAACTTCTGTTCACCATTCATTACACTTGCCTACATTGTAACTTCTGTTCACTGTTTGCCATATTGTAATTCAAACCCCATTTTAAAACCCTTACTCCATTTTGTAAAAGCTGGCTCCAACCTTCATTTTTGCAAACCCTGCTGTAATCTTAT